TTTTTTCAGCTGGATCCTCCTCCTTCTTTTCTTAAATGCTTTATTTTATTTATTTTAATTTAATTTCATCTTTAATTTAATTTTATTTTTTTTATAATGTTTATTTATTTTTGAGAGAGAGAGAGCAAGAAGTATGAGCATGGGAGGGATGGGGAGGGAGACACAGAACTGGGCAGGCTCCAGGTCTCGGTCGGCACAGAGCCCGGCTGTGAGGCCTGAACTCACAAACAGGAGATTGTGACTCCTGGGCCGGTGCCCACACTTACCCACTGAGCCACCCAGGCTTTATTTTATTTTAAGTAAACTCTACTTCTCACCGTGGGGTTTGAACTCACAACCCCAAGATCAAAAGCTTAGAATTCTTGTACTGACTGAGCCAGCCAGGTGCCCTTTATTTTTTTTTATTTTATTAATTTATTTTCCAGTTTTATTGAGGAGCATTGATACACATTGTACTAGTTTAAGGTGTATGTATATATTGTGAAATGATTACCACAGTTAAGTTTAGTTAACATCTATCACCAATGTATTTTTCTTATTATAAACCTTTAAGATTTTACTTTAGCATCTTCAGATACAGTTCATTCCTGTTAACCAGTAGTCACCATGCTGTATAGTGTATCTCCAGAACTGAAAGTTTGTACCCTTGACCACCTTCTCACTCATTTCTCTACCCTACCCTTCATCTCCAGCAAACTGTTCCATTCTCTCTCTTTCTATGAGTCATTTTTTTGTTTTTTTTTAGATTCCACATATAAGTGAGATTATACAGTATTTGTCTTCTATCTGGACTTATCTCACCACTACAATGCACCACCAAGGCCCATCCATGTTGTTTTATATGTATGTTATATATATAGGTTCCCTTGGAGATACATATGTACCCGTCTCTTTATCGGAGAATGGTATTACAAGCCAGATGTAGTGAGACTAGGCATGTTCATACCCAAGTGGAGGTGGCCTCTACTGCTCCAAGGCCCCTCTGCTAGATTTATAGAGCTAGGAGTATGTACATGCAGTATGCTTATGTATACACAGAGACACATACATACCCCATACACATTTATGTCTATATTCTTTTTTAATGTTTATTTATTTTTGAGAGAGCTGTGAACAGGGAGGGGTTGAGAGAGAGGGAGGGGAGGGATCGCTTATTTTGTGCCAACAGCAGCCAGCCTGACATGGGAGCTTACGAACTGTGAGATCACACCTGAGCTGAAGCTGAATGAGACTGAGCCACCCAGATGCTCCAAGTGTCTATATTCTAAAAGATCCATTAGTCTACCCAGACCTTCCACAGGGTTTATTCTAACCTTTCTTTTCATATTTGTATCTCTCTTCTCTTATAAAGAGAATTCTGGGTCCCATTGTCCTTAGTTGATTTTCTTATTTAAAAATTTTTTTAAATAAAAAAAAACCTTTTTTTTTTTTTTTTACCCTATTTTGAGAGAGAGACAGTGTGAGCAGGGAGGAGCTGAGGAGGAGACACAGAATCAGAGCAGACTCCAGGCCCTGAGCTGTCAGCAGAGTCTTAACGAGGGCTCAAATTAATGAATCATGAGATCGTGACCTGAGCCAAGCCGACGCCCAACTGACTGAGCCATCCAGGTGCCCCTTTTTAATTTTTTTTAATGTTTATTTATTATTAATGAGTAGACAGAGAGAGAGACAGAGTACGTGAGTGGGACAGAGAGAGAGGGGATGCAGAATTGAAGTGGTACAGGCTCTGAGCTGTCAAAGCACAGAGCCCTCGGCCGGGCTCAAACTCACACAAACCGCAAGATCATGACCTGAGCTGAAGTCGGATGCTTAACTGACTGAGCCACCCAGGCACCCCAGTTGATTTTCTTATTTGATGAATCCTCCCATATATGAAAAATCTCTTCCTGTGGCCTCTGAACCATTCCATGTGGAAATACTCAGGGTCACCTCACTCAGGGAATCCTCCTGCAGACTGGCCTTGTGCATGTATTTCTTCACAGTTTGTGCCCTGTAAAGCGTGGGACACTCCACATGCTCTGCCCTGTTCCAATGGCTGTCAGACTGGATTGCTCAGGAAGGGGCAAGGGCTTCCTGGGAATTCTTGTTTCACCTGAATGTTTCTAGCTGTGGGGTTATTTCTTTATCTTTATCTTTTTTTTTTTTTTTTTTTTTGCCTTTTGGTTTGAGGCCTCATACTTTCCCCGAGTCTGAGAAGCTTAATGGAAGTTTCTTCCTGAAAATATTTTTCATCATCTCTGCATATTTTTTCTCTTCTATATATACTGCCATGTGGATGTTGATTTCCTTCATTTCTGTATTCCATATTTCTTGATTTTTCTTTTATGTATTTTACCTTTTCCTGATGTCAGGCAAAAACCTGATATTTTAGCTTATTAATTTGTTCAACACTCTCCTTTCTGCTCTTTAATACATTTATCCATTCACTTTATTTCAGTGATTATATTTTTCATGCCCAGTATTCTTATTTGCTTCATTATGACATTTTCTTCCGGCTTTATTATTGTTTTTTAATGTTTATTTATTTATCTTGAGAGAGAGAAAAAGAGCACGCCCACATGTGCATGTGGGCAAGGAAGGGGCAGAGAGAATCCCAAGCAGGTTCCGCACTGTCAGTGTAGGGCCCTACATGGCTGGCGCTTGATCTCACGAGCTGTGAGGTCATGACCTGAGCCAAGAGATCAGGAGTCTGACACTTAATCAGCTGGGCAACCCAGGCACCCCCTTCCTGCTTTATTTCTAATATCCTTCCTTATTAAGTTTGAAAGTTTATTTATTTTTAAGATTATATATATATATATATATATTTTTTTTTAATGTTTATTTTTGAGAGAAAGAGGGCGCACACGCGAGTGAGCAGGGGAGGGGGAGAGAGAGAGGGAGACACAGAATCCAAAGCAGGCTCCACACTGTCAGTGCAGAGCTTGACACGGGGTTCGATCCCACAAACTGTGAGATTGTGACCTGAGCTGAAATCAGATGCTTAAGCACATGAGCCACCCGGGTGCCCTGATTTTAAGTAATCTCTATACCCAGCAGGGGCTCGAACTTGCAACCCCAAGATCAAGAGTCGCGTGCTTTACCGACTGAGCTAGCCAGGTGCCCCAGTTTGTTTATTTTTAAACATTTATTTTCTGTCTTTTCTCCTGTGTCCTGGGGATATTAGTCACCTTCGTTCATGATGTATCTGAGGTGTGGTGAAGAAAGCTACAGTCAGCTTTGATGCCTAGTTTGTGCCTCTCCTGGGTTTAGAGAATGAAGGTGGTAGGGGTCCAGGGAGAGGACTTACCCACCGTCATTATACAGTGTGAAACCCCTTCTAAGGCTCAGCACTTTTTAAGGTCTGTTTCCATCTGTTAGAAACTTCTAGCCCACAAAGTACAGAAAGCAGTGGTGGGAAAAGGGAGCCATGCACATACAGGGACCACCCACTGCCATCCGTGCATATCCCCACCAGCTGGCCCCATGGCACCCACTTGTTACTCTGCAGCCCCTTGACGGTTTCAGGCTTGCCGACAATCTTTCTGCCCTGTAACTGCAACTGCCTATTCAGTAAAATGTTGGAGAGAAAAATATTTACCGAAATAACTGCACCACACCCTAACTCCATCTCTGGTGTCTGGCTCTGGTCTGCTCTGCTCGCATTTTCACCCTACATTAGGACCAGATTTCCCTATGTTGTTCCAGGGATTTCTGTCTGTATGTAAACACAAATTAATTTTTTTGTTTAGTATAGGTTCATACTTCACATGCTGTCCAGCAGCTTGCTGCTTTTACATTTTATTTTTTAAAAGAGTTTTTTTTTTTAAATGTTTATTTACTTTTGAGACAGAGCAAGATGGTGCAGGGGAGGGGCAGAGAGAGAGAGGGACAGAGTATCTGAAGCAGGCTCTGTGCTGACAGCAGAGAGCCCGATGTAGGGCTTGAGCTCACAAACCAGGAGATCATGACCTGGGCCAAAGTCAGATGCTTAACCAACTGAGCCACCCAGGTGCCCCAGCAACTTGCTGTTTTTAAAATGGCTGATTAGGGGCCCCTGGGTGGCTCAGTCAGTTGAGCGTCCTCTTGATTTTGTCTCAGGTCATGATCTCAGGGTTGTGGGATTACGGAGCCTGCTTCAGATTCTGTCTTTCTCTCTCTGCCCCTCTCCCCCACTTCCGTGCTCTCTATCTCAAAATAAAAAATAAAAAAATTAAAATGGCTGATTAACATGATTGATTACATATGAAGGTAGTTTGGTTTCAATCAAAGATAGCTTTAATATATGTGTATGTATAGTTTTTATATCCCTTTTACACTGAGGTGTCTTCATATAATTACCTTATCTTAAATGTAAGTTAGTGATAGGGTAGAGTGTAGTTGTCAGTGTTCTGTGAAGCACTTGATAATTGCCCTCTTTGATTCTTTTAGGTTGTTACCAGGTTTTTTTTTTTTTTTAATTTTTTTTTTTTAATTTTTTTTTTTCAACGTTTATTTATTTTTGGGATAGAGAGAGACAGAGCATGAACGGGGGAGGGGCAGAGAGAGAGGGAGACACAGAATTGGAAACAGGCTCCAGGCTCTGAGCCATCAGCCCAGAGCCTGACGCGGGGCTCGAACTCACAGACCGCGAGATCGTGACCTGGCTGAAGTCGGACGTTTAACCGACTGCGCCACCCAGGCGCCCCATCCAGTTTTTAAATACTGTATGATGATACTGAAATAAATATCTTTATGGATAAAATGTTTTACATTTACAGATCATTTCAAGGATGGATTTACAGAATGGAACAACTAGAGGAGTAGGTCAAAAGGCATTCAAATAGTATTTCCAATATGATGTACCAACTTGCATTCCTACTGACAGTATGAGAGTGTTTTCCCACACCATCGTGCACTTAGGTTATTTTGATGATTTGACTGTGATCAGAAGAATTCTGTATCTTGAAAAAAAATGCTATCAAATAATATAATTAAGGTATGTTCCTCATTTTATTCTTATCTACCAGATAAATGGACATATGTTTTCTTACAGGACTGAATTTGCTCTTAAAGAAATCATGTCCTCTGGAGGTGCTGAAGATGATATCCCACAGGGAGAGAGGAAAACAGTTACAGACTTTTGTTACCTTCTGGATAAATCTAAGCAACTGTTCAACGGATTAAGGTTAGTGGACTCTTGATGCCTTAAACTTTTCTCTAGTTCTGTGTTTTTTTCCCTATGGCTGGTGTGTGGTAAGTTTCTGAAAGTTATGGATAGAATGTTTTATAAATACCTGTATTAGAGGTCAGGTGATCATGCTGTTTTGACCCTCTTCATTTTCAGATGAGAAGACAATAGGAAAGAGGAATACTGTTTCCTTCAAGTTGAGGCGAGCAGTTTTGTTAGATGGTTTTGTATACAGTATTCCACATCATACCCTATTTATTTATTTTTAATGTTTGTTTTTATTTATTTTTTTTTTTAAATTTTTTCAACGTTTATTTATTTTTGGGACAGAGAGAGACAGAGCATGAACGGGGGAGGGTCAGAGAGAGAGGGAGACACAGAATCGGAAACAGGCTCCAGGCTCTGAGCCATCAGCCCAGAGCCTGACGCGGGGCTCGAACTCACGGACCGCGAGATCGTGACCTGGCTGAAGTCGGACGCTTAACCGACTGCGCCACCCAGGCGCCCCAGTTTGTTTTTATTTTTGAGAGACAGAGAGAGACAGAGCACTAGTGGGGAAGGAGCAGAGAGAGAGGGAGACCCAGAACCTGAAGCGGGCTCCAGGCTCTGAGCTGTCAGCACAGAGCCCGACGCGGGGCTAGAACTCACGAACTGTGAGATCATGACCTGAGCCGAAGTCAGCGCCCAACCGACTGAGCCACCCAGGTGCCCCCACATCATACCCTATTTACATCTGATTTTACACATTGGGGGGTATTGAAGTTAATGTATCTTTTAAGAAAACATTTAGAATTATAATTACAAGATTATCAAATATTCATTTGATAATATTCCATGACCACTGTATCTAAAGTTACACTTTCAGTCACTTTATCCCTATATTCATTTAATTTTTTAATAAAACTGATGACTGTCTTGAGCAATCTTATTAATTTGCCTATAATGTCTTCCTACATAAAACTAATATTCCTAAGAATAGGACCCTGTTTGTCACGGTTTCTCTAGTACATAATGGCCAGGGTCTGGCCCATTGCAGATGCTTCATAAACATTTGTTAAATGAAGGATTCCAAAGGCAGGTTTCTTAACTTCTGTACTCTGCTGCTTTCTGTTTTGTGCCAGAGAAGAATCTTTGAGATCAGCTTCTGGTAATAATCAGATTAATTGCAACTTTTTAAAGAATTATTTTCTGGGGTCTGGGTGGCTCAGTTGGTTAAGTGTCCGACTTTGGCTCAGGTCATGATCTTGCGGTTCGTGAGTTCAAGCCCTGCCTTAGGCTCTTTGCTGACAACTCAGAGCCTGGAGCCTGCTTCAGATTCTGTGTCTCCCTCTCTCTCTGCCCCTCCCATGCTCATGCTGTCTCTCTCTGTCTCTCAATAATAAATGTTAAAAAAAATAAAAAAATAAAAAGAATTATTTTCTGGGGCACCTGGGTGGCTCAGTTTATTGACCATCTGACTCTTGGTTTCTGCTCAGGTCATGATCTCATGGTTTGTGAGATCAGTTCCTATGTTTGGCTCTGCGCTGATAAGCATGGAGGCTGCTTGAGATTCTCTCTCTCTCCCCCCCTCTCTCTCTGCCCCTCCCTCTGATCTCTCTCTCTATCCCTCAAAATAAATAAATAAAATTTAAAAAAGAAAAAATATTTTTTCAACTGATTATTGCATTTCTTGCATATTTTTTCTTGTCCCTTGTCCTCCCTCCTTTTTATACTTGTAATGCCTAGAGTGAACATCCAGCTCAGGTCCTCTGTAATGACCTACTCTTGATTTTCATCTCTCTTCTCTTTTACATCATTTCGTTTTCAGAAAATGTCTCTGAAATGGTGGCATATGTCCACCATATGCCAGACATACTCTTTTTTTGTATTCCTTTACTCTTTATGGGATGTATGTCATCTTGTCATTTCATATCAGCATTTTTTGCTATACTGCTTAATAAAAAGCCTTAGATACTACGTTTTGACCCAAAGTTTACTAGCTTCTCTATATATTCTTATTTGAATATAAGAATGAGTATAGTATGAGTATGTCTTCACTGAGTATGTTTGAGAAGCATATTGAATTTAGTGGCATCTCCCTTCTTAAAAAGGAATTATTTTCCTAATCTGATTCTGGATCATAAATGAATCCTTAAAGCTCAAGTAATCTCTTGCTAGAGACTCTCCATCTGGCTAAAATCACTCTGTAACTACAACAACAGTAACAGTAACACATTTCCACACAGCATTCTACAGTTTGTAAATCGCGTTAAAGTACGTCTTCATCTTTAAGCCACACAATGACAGTATATAATACAAAACACGTAACTAGAGTTGATTGTTTTATTTTACCCTCTATTTAAATGTGCAAATTTTATTTTTTTTTTTTCAACATTTATTTATTTTTTTTGGACAGAGAGAGACAGAGCATGAACGGGGGAGGGGCAGAGAGAGAGGGAGACACAGAATCGGAAACAGGCTCCAGGCTCTGAGCCATCAGCCCAGAGCCCGACGCGGGGCTTGAACCCACAGACCGCGAGATCATGACCTGGCTGAAGTCGGACGCCCAACCGACTGCGCCACCCAGGCGCCCCTAAATGTGCAAATTTTAAATTTAAATTTGTTGTGCAGATCAATTTAACAGCTCAAATGTGTCTCATTTTGATCTTTTTTTAAAGTGCCATTTTAATGATCACACTGATTTTATTTTTATTTTTGAATTTTTGATTTTATTTAGTTTTAAAGTAATTGCAGAGTAAAATTGTGTCTGTGGGGATGGCAGGAAAACCTAATACATGGAGAGGTTACACGAGATCTAATCTTTAGGACTGTTTATTTATTGTTACAGAAATTTATTATAATATGCTTGTGATACCTATTTCAGTTTAGTTCTTGAGCTCTTGAAACTGTATCGGGTCCAAGAATTAATCCTTCTGGGCACCTGGGTGGCTCCAACTTCAGCTCAGGTCATGATCTCATGGTTCATGAGTTCGAGCCCCACTTTGGGCTCTGTGCTGACAGCTCAGAGCCTGGATCCTGCTTCAGATTCTGTGTCTCGCTCTCTCTCTGCCCCTCCCCTGCTTGTGCTGTGTCTCTCTCTCTCAAAAATAAACATTTAAAAAGAAATAAAGAATTAATCCTTTTGACTTTGTTTTCTGAAATATTCAGTACATAATTTCATCAGTTTGAAATTTCCCTTCTTCATTTGTTAAGTCAATAATTTTGTCAGTATACATGTGTAACTTGAAGATACCATAAATTGCTACCCAGAAAGCACTATTTTTTTTTCTTAACTTACATTATATCACTCTGGCACTGTGGCCACAGCTTGCTTGCTTGCTTTCTTTCTTTCTTTCTTTTTTTCTTTCTTTTATGTTTATTTATTTATTTAGAGAGAGAACGCCCACACACATGCAAGCGGGGAAAGGGCAGAGAGAGAGAGAGAGAGAGAGAGAGAGAGAGAGAGAGAGAATCTCAAGCAGAGTCAGTGCAGAGCTTGATCCCATGAACTGCAAGATAATGACCTGAGCTGAAATCAAGAGTTGGACACAACCTACTGAGTCACCCAAACACCCCTAAAAGCAGTATTTTCTATACTAATATATTGATTGCCTCCCAGATGTGGAGTAGTACTTCCCCAAAGTGCTATTTTTAAAATTTGAGAATCGTGGGGTGCCTGGGTGGCTCAGTCGGTTGAGCGTCCAACATCAGCTCAGGTCATGATCTTGCAGTTCGTGGGTTCAAGCCCCACATCAGGCTCCCTGCTGTCAGCCTGTCAGTGCAGAGCCTGCTTCTGATCCTCTGCCCCCCTCTCTCTGCACCTCCCCTGCTTGCACTCTCCCAAAAAGAAATCAAATAAGTCATTTAAATTAATATTTAAAAAATAAAATAAAATAAAATTTGAAAATAATAATAATAAATATTGGCCTAGAGGAATGGATAAGCAAATTCATCAGGGATTTATTTTCAGTGTTTTGTGTACAGGGCCCTCTTTAAAAAAATTTTTTTTTATTTATTTTTTTTAATATTTATTTATTTTGAGAGAGAGAGAGCACAGAATCAGGGGAGGGATAGAGACAGAGAGAGAGGGAGAGAGAGAGAGAGAGAGAGAGAGAGAGAGAAAGAGAATCATAAGCAGGCTCTACAGTGTCAGCACAGAGCCTGATGCAGGGCTCAATCCCATGAACTGTGAGATCATGACCTGAGCCGAAATCAAGAGTTGAACACTTAACCAACTGAGCTACCTAGGTGCGCCCAGGGCCCTCTTTATTTTAAACAGCCTTAATTATTTCTGTAATAAATATGGTGAGTAAAGTATATATATTCTCTGAATGCTTTTGGGTTGCTGTTTGAGAGAGATGTAGCTAATGGCAGTGCAAGTGTGAAGTTTCCTGAGAGATTAGTACTTTGATTCTCTTCCTTTTTTTCACTTTTTAAGAACATCTGTTTTACACACATACACACACACAAACAGAATGATATCGAATTATTAAAAAGATTTGGTGGATAAATAAATGAAAAAGAGCGAATTACAAAAACAGTATGTTCTTCATGATCTTGATTTATCAAAAATTCTATATTAAATTGATGTTCTGTATACCCTAGTAGCTCTTAGCGGGGACTGTTTGCTTTTACTGCCCAGTTTGGTCCCTAACCAAAGACCAAATATATTTGGGGGTTGATTTTCTCAAAATGTCTGGTACATATGGGGGTGTGTATTTTCTCTGCTTGTTTATCTAAATGAAAATGCTTTGTTCAGTATTAGGCCTTGGTTGGAAAGGCCTCTATTTATCAGTTCTGTAGGTTGTGTTTGAGTTCCCCATGGTGGTGGTTGTGGGGTGTGTGGCATTCTTCTCCACCCTGCTCTCCCATTCCCTCTCCAAAGTAGCTCTTTGAGTTATGCGAATTAAAAACCTCTCTGCTTTTCAAGGGGTGATACAGTTTTAGTGCATTTCTTTTGAAATAGAGAGGATTTCTTTGGGAAAAATGAAAAGAAAATTTTTTTAGTTGTTTTCCCT